CTCTGTCTCTACACAATACACAGTTCTCATCACCTCGCACCTCTTTGAATAAAGGTTGGCCCAAAAATTTTGTTTATATCCAGTTAAGATTTAATGCATTCTTTTCTTGTCACGGAAGCGTGGTGTCTGTCCAACAAACTTTCAGTGTTCTCTTCTAACATTTTAAAAAGGAAAGCAATATCAAAATATTTTACGCGCCATTTTAACCGCGTTTATGTCCTCTCTGCATGTGACTCACCAAAGACTGGCTAAAGTAATAAGCATTTTAACGGCGCCCCGTGGTGATCATTCTCGATAAAAAAAGACCAGAAGTGCCGCCTTTATGGCGACAAGGAAAGTTCTTGAATTCCACGACACTGATGTATATAAAAAAAAAAACATGCGAATGCACTTCAGTTAGGTACTTAAAACATCGACAGTAAGTGAGAGTCTTACCACTTCTTTGAAGTGCATAAATCCAAAGAATTACACCAAAAGATTTAAACCAAAAGCATTATAGTGAGAGGCACTCGACAAGGAATTGGTATGTAACATCTGGCCGTTTGGTTTACGAGCTGTAAAGTATAAAACTTACTCATAAACGGTGCTTAAAGCTCATTGACACTTTTTCAAAAATAGAGCCTATCGTGAAACATTTTGTCGTTTTTAAAAGCTGCAGCTTTTCAATTTGAAAATGATGAATGTCGTACCAACTATTAACCCATGGAGTTTGTAAGCAACACAAATCTTGGAAATAGAAAGAACCTTCAAAAAATCCAGTCTATATAATCACATCTGCAAGGAGCGGAAGTCCAACTCCGGACGTTTCAGAATATTTCAGTGATGATTTAGAATAAAGAACAATCAGTTTGTCGGATACGATCGTGGTAGCATCTAATGTATTTTTTCCAAGTTTGGTAGAATTTCCATTTCCAAACTCAGTCGGCTGGGTCAATCGTTTGATTGGAAAGATTATTTTAAAATGAGCAATTTCAGTTTCGAATTCGCATATCCTTGGGGAAACGGGAATGGCAAGTCAGTGTCGAGTCAATGGTAAGTTAGGTCAACAGCTATTGTCAGTTTTTTAATTTGCCTTCCTAATAAGTATCATGTGAATATTTTGCTGATTCATCGTCCATCGTGCCGAATATCGTCTGGTTTAAGATTTAAAAACGAATTGTTAAGTCCTTCATACTCCATTTTTCACTAAAAAAAGGTGCTTGCCTTCATGTTGCTACCAAAAGCATGGTGATGCTTACGACCCTGAAATCGGTCGTTGCATCGTTTTGCAACGGGAAAGACAAAGCGTGATTTCTTGATTGGGGTTGACTTGATGCAGTTAGATCTGAGGATTATCTTCTGCTATTTCATTGGGACAAACGGGCGTCAAGCGCTTTGAATTATAGGTTTTTGGTTAAACATAAAGTCTGAATAGAACGAGGAAATAATTCTATAATAATTCAAAGACACATATTGGCATTCCACTTTAGTTTTCAATACAAGACTCTGAGTTAAATCGACCACTGCAAGAAATACAACAATCCCATAGTTTGAATTGCTCCTACTGACTGAGGGGGACAATTTCATGCAGCACAGAACACGGCGCCAAACTCAGTCCTTTGCCTATCAGCTTTCTAAAACACGACTTTTATAGGCCATATCGAAAGAAATCCAACTGGAGTGCAGCTGGTTATTGCATTTTGCGTGGCCTTAGAATTCAAGTGAATTCAAGCTGTCAGCAACCAGCTAAATTTACAAAGCAAATGTGAAACAATTTGTAATGAAGAATATTTCATCTGACTTGTCGATGGAAATCAAATAAAGCCAAGACCCCTTCAGATGAAAAAAAAAAAAAAAAAAAAGAAAAGACTACGTTGGGATCGAGGCCAATTATAGGTGGTTCTATCTTTCCCGTGGTGGAATATGTCACAAGTGGTGATGGAATGAACGTCTTAAGGTCAGACTCAGTTGCCGAAACAAATACTAAATCTTATCTACCACTAAAAATATTCTGTGTGTAGCCAGGCAAACTAACAGACAGCAAGAAATCAATGATATCGACCAACGTGGCTTGGTTATCCTTCCTTATACCAAGGGATTTTCCGAGAGAGTCATAAAAGTTCTTTGAGGTTTAAACATCGAGGTCCCCCATAGGCCTATCCGTTCTATCTCGAGCATACTTAAAAAGCCAAAAGACAAGATCGAGAAAGGGTCTTCCAGAGGAATCGTGTACCAAATCAAATGGAAAGGTTGTGATTTTGTTTACGTTGGTCAGACATCGCTCTCACTAAAAACACGCCTAAAAAACACACAAAGGCCATACCAACATTGGATGAAAACTCTTTGTTGGCCAAACACCATATGCTTCACAGTCACCGAATAGATTTAGAGAATGTTGAAATTGTTGACAGGTTATCGGCGTGGCGACAAAGATCGATTCTTAAAGCTTGGCATTCCCTGCGAGATATAAACGCTATAAACGAACACATAACACTACCAAACACATAAGACTATTGTTACATTTAAAAATTCCTTCGAGATTTATTTTTATCACACATCGTGAACACATACTAAGCAGGACGCCGTCAGACATTTCCATTTTTATCTTTGCTGAAGAAGGCAACAGTAATAAACCGAAACGTCCAAAACTATACAGTTTTTAGTCAGTGTCAACTTTTTCTTTACTCTTTTTGACCAATCTTTTAAACTACCGCCATTCCTGACCATTTCTTTCTAATCCTTTTCACAGGCAAAATGGCTTGCTGCTTATAATTCTCTTCTTTATTTCTCCTGTAATTCAATCAGAAAAGTGGCAAGAGTTAATTTTAACAATGCTCTTCGTCGTCTTCATTTAATTTCATCAGTCTGATCAAGACGTCATGTGATCTCTTGGTCAGATTTGATCGAGATAAAATTTCTTCGGAAAAAAATAATACTTTGGGAAAAAGCCAACACGAGAGATTAAGGACCTGAACCGTAGATTTTTTAGCTTCCACTTTCAACCAATTCACTTCCAAGATCTCATAAGTGTTTCTCCTTGGCATACAATTCTTTTGATGGTAGTTTAAAAAATTTGTAATGGATCAACGGATGATCCTCCAATTTATATTTTGCTCTATGTTAATCACTTTGCTAAATACAGTATTGATTTGGTAAGGTGAAATTCAGTACTAATCACTCGTGGGAGTGAAAGGTTAATCCACCAAACTGAGAGATGAATTTTCTCTAACAAACGAACGTAGCTATCTTTCCAATGCTGATGCTCGTGTCAGAATTGATTTCCGAAAGTCATATTGATGCTAGCTGTATCATGTCCTCCACAGCACCAACGAAATAACAAGTTTAAGTTCATGGTCGGAATTTCCAAATTTCCGCGATAATGGACGACTTCCAGGGATCGACAAAAATTTTTAAAACAAGACTCCGGAAACATTCTGTCCTATTCGATATTTGAGTGGAATTTCCGGAATTTGTTATTGAATGGAACTATTTTGCAATTTGTGAAGCCAAGAAAAAAAACCCGGATTTCATTACAACTTGCCTTTGAGTTATAGCCAAAAAAAAAAAAAAAACTTCATTTTGTTTCAACAAGCGACTTCGGACTATACGGTTACAATTGCTCATGCTAAAAAAAACCTTATCAGATACAAATTACGAAGGAAAGAAAATGCATAGGAATCGAAAGCAACATGATATCTGTGGAAAAATTACAAGACAAAGATGGTTACAAATTCGCGCCTTACCCTCATGGGGAACAAGAAGTATTTGACACCCATAATTGTCAAACTGGAAGAACTCAGTGCGCAAACTCACAACTTAACTTCACCTCTTTGATCTTATACAAGTTAAAAAACAACTGTTCTCACGAAATTTCCCATCTGGCGTTAGCCCTTCGCTAAGCTACTTGATGAAATACTTGTGAAAACATGGCCAGTGCTTGTCATCCACAGTCAAGAGTTTGTAACCCACAATTGCAAATAAGATTTGTAAGTGTCAACTTTGACTGATGAAACGGTTCGATTGCTCCTGATTATCTCAGTAACGTACTGTATCAGAAGAATATTGCTATGTAATATGGAGAATTATCGGTGCAGTTGACGAACCAATATTTACCACTTTTGGGCCCCGGACCAATTATGTAATGATGAGACGACGTCCTCCATCGGGTTCTGTCCTACCCCTCTTTCTCTTGGCCCCGGAACTATTATGTAATGACTACTCTATAATTTTGCTCGATTCCAGGTATAAAGAGCGCTCCCGACATCTCGCTTGCTCGTTTAGCTGGTAATAGGACTTAACTAGTATTTGGAAGGCACAAGTTGAGTCGAACTTCGTTTGTGCAATTGTTGTAGTTGCCGCTCACCAGTGAGGGTAATCTTTTTCTTCTATTGCAATAGCATGTTAGCACATGTTTAACATTTATCAGATAAAGATGTTAACGGTTGTTAGATACTTCCTGTTGAACAGGAAATGCCGAAACAAGTCGATATTCAGATAATTTTGAAAGACTAGCTGGTTTCTTAACACTAGCCGAACCGACGCCAAATTATATTCCGGTAATATTATAAACGTACAAGTTCTCGTAAACTCCGCAAAAGACTGACGAAAGACCAACTATAAAACAAAGGTGCGTCTTGTTACGACCCTTTGTCGGAAATTCGCAACAACATAGAAGTATAAGTTCTATTTTAATCAAGTGGTAACGGAAGTTCTCAGCTTTCATGAACTGAAACAGAAAAGGTTTATCTCCTTTTGTCTCCTTCGCCTATATCATAAAAGAAAATTCACGCGGTTTTTTTGTCAGTTTTTGGACGGAGCACGAAGGAGGCGTGCGGTAAGAGAAAAGGAATAAGTAAACTTGGTGAACTTAGTAGTAAGTTAAGTCCCATCAGTCTTCGCCATTATACTTTTTATGAAGATTTTTGATTTTTGATTTTGTTTAAGTTGTCAAATTATATTAACATTTTTATTATTAGTATTATAATTTTATTTATTTAGTTATTTATTACATTTTTCTGCAGCTTTTATGAATAACACTGCAAACGAAACCCGAAGAATTACAATGAGGAAAGACGAACGAAAACGACAAGAAATAGGTATGTAACATCTGGATGTTGGGTGTAAATTTTACAGTGTGCAGAAATTTACGAGCTAAGATCTAATGCTTACCTTTTTCAAACATGGGACTGTAAGTGATGTAGTCATTTCAGTTGTACCACCTGTTTAAGTCATGGGGTTTATATGCGCCACAAGCACGAGGCTCCGTAATATTCTTATGACTCCCCGCCCCCCTTAGTTGGCAGTTCATTGGAAGAGAATTATCTTGGAAAATCATGATATCCCTTCCCCCTTCTACCCCTTCTCCCCTTCCCCCTAACCCTAACCCTAACCCTAACCCTAAGCAACCCTAACCCTAACCCTAACCCTAAGCAACCCTAACCCTAACCCTAACCCTTCCCCCTTCCCCCTTCCCCCTTCCCCCTTCCCTCTTCCCCCTTCCCACCCCCCCCCCCTCGTTCGCCACCAATCATAGGTTTTTGCGGCCTTTTGTTGTCATTATTTCATCGTATCATATTTGTAGTTTTTTCCCCAATCTCTTGCTTATTTCAGTCTGTAACTTGGCATTATAACATATCATAGCTGGAGTGACTTCAGAACACATAATGACTTCTCTCCTTCAGGTTCTGCTCTGCTGTTTCTGGCACTTTTTGTGACTTTCGAAATTTTACCATCAACGCGTGCAGCCCCAATAAATTCCCGAAAGAACACTGCTGTCCACTCGAAAGAAGCAGAGGAAGAAGTAATACCAGAAGAGGTGACATATAACAGGACATCCGAGAAATGTAAGTAAGATTCGTTATTCTCGTACGTGTATTGACACCCCTTACTCATTTTCATGTATTATTATTATTATTATTATCATTAATATTATTATTATTATTTCTCCTTATTATTTCTAACAGCTAAAAACTGTGCTGAGCTGTACAAATCCGGTCAAAGGATTAGCGGTGTTTACACAATCGACCCAGATGGTTCAGGTGCCTTTAACGTATCTTGTGACCAAACTACTTCGGGCGGGGGATGGACAGTCTTTCAGAAGAGAATGGATGGCTCTGTTGATTTCAACCGCACCTGGGATGACTACAAATATGGCTTCGGTAACTTTATCGGTGAATTTTGGCTCGGAATGGACAAAATAAACCGCCTGACACGAAACAAGACAAACAACATGCTTCGAGTAGATCTGGGAATAAAAAATGGCAAAACTGTTCACGCTGAGTATGACTGGTTTGGGATTGGCAACGAAACGGCTAAGTACCGGCTGTTCATTGGCAATACGACTAGTTCGTAAACCCTTCTTTATCTTTCATCGTTTGGATTTATCTATAATTTTCTTCATCCGTTGAGAGCCCTGTCTCCCTCCCTCCTTCCCTTCCTCACCTTTCACATGTAACACAAGAATAATGGTTTGCTCCTCTAAGCGTCTGATTTATTCCACTCTCGCTGGGTTGAGTCCAAGCTCCTCTGTTGAAAATGGTACTTTGCTTTGGAGTCCGCAATTCAATGATAATACAGTTACTGAACTCAGCTCCAGAAAAATATCGTAGTTGATTTACTCTCTGACTTGCCCGCTATTAACAAAATCACGATATTTTGCCCACCTCTTCGAATAATAGTTTATTAATTATCGTCATCTGCCATTGAAAACTTATGACGTTTGTGTAAGGAGAAATCTTTTTAATCGAAGCAGCATGTAGCTACTGTTTAAATTGAGTTTTGTTCTGCCTGTGTTTTTGTTCGCTTTGGTTTTTGTTTGGTGTTTGTTCGTTTGTTTGTTTTGCCACAAACACCAAGCTTGGCACTTCCAAGGTGTCAGCATGATCCTAATGCTGATTCATTTCTTTTTTGGTTTGTTTTGGAACAGGTGAGACTGTGATCAATGATTCCCTCGGTCGTCATAGGGATTTCTCTTTTGGTACCTGGGACAGAGATCCTCATAATTGTGATGAAAAGAGAGGCGGAGGCTGGTGGTATACCGATACACATTGTGCTGTTTGGTCAAATCTCAACGGGCTTTACTTTGATAATAAAACCTCGCGCGCAATCTATTGGAGTAGGTTAGGTACCATACCAGAGGAAAACATTCCCAAATCAGCAGAAATGAAAATTAGACCAGTGGACTTCGTTTCTTCTTTTTAGCGGTATATAGACTGAAAACCTTTATTTTTTCTTTTTCGTTTCTGAATGGTATTGTAGAGCATTCATAGGTCAAAGGATACCTTTCATTGGTCTAATTCAACTATCCTTCATTCATTGATCAAGAAAATATGTTTTCAATACAATATTTGAGATTAGTTTTTTTTTGTTTTTGTTTTTGTTTTTTTTAAGTTTACCTAGAAAAGTAAAACAGACAACAAGTTTGAGTAATAGGAGATGCCCATTCTAGTATAAAATAGAAAAATTATTTACCTGAGTGTTGATGAAGGTGGTGGATATGTAAATACACTTCGGCAAGTAATCGCTGACTATTGATGTTTTGACTTCAAAACACACGGCTTCTTTACAAATGTCGTACATTGCCGAATTTATTAGAGCAAGCACTGCCCAATATCCTCCATAAGGGCGCCAGGTCTTAGGTCTAGGCCACACCTATGATTTTCTATTTGAAAACGCATGCCTTTTAGGGTACGTCCACCTATTTTAAACATTAATACAACTAAAACTTCTGATAGAAATGTAGATTTTGCTCTAAAAGTGGAGCTTAAAGAAAAGGTTCTGTTTCTTGACACGAAAATAAACGGAGGCCTTTGAAGAAAAAGATCTTTTTATCACCACTTTCGAGCGTATTTGTATAGACAATAGACATAAAAGCATAAAAAAATCCAAACATCCAAAGTGAAAGAAAAAAAAAGTTATTTAGACAGCTAAACAATGTACTGTAACGCTTGTGTGTTGGACAGGCTCTCTTACCCTTACGTGTAGACGAAAGTAAATACTCGTTCAGAAGTTACTTTCGTCCGGTCGGGCCTTGCAAGCCCTTGCGAGATACCTCCCCAAAATCAAAGATCCAACCAAGAGTAAAGCCAATGGAGACGGCAGGGTTTGATCGAATAATTACGGACAGCCACAATGATTGGATTTTGTCTCACACCCAAACTGTCCCTTCATCCTACTGTGATTGTGATTGGCTGATTAGTGATCGCGTGCTTGAATGTATTCCACTGAGTAAATACCATCTTAAAGTGTTTCCCTCACAACAAGACATGAAGTGCAGTATTTGCATGCTCCGTGGGGGAGGGGGTGGTACATAAGCCAATTTTTCCTGGGTATGTGCCGCTGGCCTCCCACAACCCCTCGCCTATACTCCAAAATTAAGTTCGCTTGTATTTTAGTCCATTTTTTTCAATGTATTACTCAGTGATTTTTAAAAGTGGATTAGTAGTTTAAAGAACTATCAAGACGACACTTGCATCTGCCCAATCGATAAAGTAGTTTGTACGAGAAGAAAACAGTGGATCGAATTATGATAATATCAGATTAGCTAAGTAGAAACGTCATAGACTGAGCCATATTTTATCAAATTTAATGAAATATATCTTAGCTAGTTTGTATCAGAAATGTTTGATTCTTCGCAGACTTTATAAGGAGTGTTTAAAAAAATTATAAACATATAACGTGAACAACTTTAATTTCAGAAATGAATATTTTCTTCAATTAATTCAGAAAGACTTACAATTGCAATGCATTTATACCCTAAGCTGCTGTTTATACATGTTTTTTCTTACCTTACAGTTACTACTTTTTCTAGTGATTTTTAGACATTGCTATTTCAGTGCTATCGATAAGGCCATTTCCGATTATATCGTTAAAAAAATAATCTACGATCGATATGTGACTTTTATATCGTGAACAAATAAAGACTATTATACATTACTTCTTTTTTTATTTAGATAGCTTGCGATTGTGTTGCCATATTAAACCCGGCAGATCGCAGAACTTCTCTTATTCTCGAGGATTTCCAAGCCTACACTGGTTTCTAATTTTGATTTTGGCCAATGAAGCTTTTTATGGGTGATCTGAAAAACATGTAAAGGTGTAATTTGGACACAGGATTTCATCACAACTTCTCAGTCTGCCATGATTCATTGTTCGTTGCAGCATCTCGACCGAGATAGCTCCTTTTAAATACTTTTTAATGTAAAACTGGATCATGTAAACGGCATCATTCGTTATTTGTTTCACATATGGTACCGACAAAAAGAAAAAAACAACAGCAACAACAACAAATATGTCCAAAACTAAGATAGATATTCGGAAACGGAAAAGTTATCATTAATCTCTTCATAATTTTTAAAGGATAAAAAAGGTAAAAACAGAAAAAAGAGAATTTGCTTACTCAGTTTACCCTTAATCAGCGTAACCCTCTTAAAATTGTCTTTATTGTCATTATTATTATCAATATTATTGATAATTTTCTGCGCACTGTTCCTAGAATTTAGGAAACTGCTGATTTATCAAAGCGAACGATGAAGAAGTCTAAAATGTCTTTCTCAAAGCCACAAAGTTGTTTTCCTTAGTGATGAAAACTTACTTGGACTTGAGCAAAACCACAAATCATTTCATAGTTTAGCAAAGTGAAAGTTGAAATACCGCCTTCCTTTTTTTTTTCTTTTTCGTTCAATCGCAGATCGAGACAAGTCCTTAACACGCATACACGACGTTTTGACTTTGACACAAGCACGACGTTCTGACTGATGAGCACCTTGCATGGTACAAGGGAAAAAGAAGAGATGTTTATGCCCTGCAAGATCAGTACTGATACTGTGTATAATACGCTCAAAACGCGTACAAAACATGCACGCAGCATTCGAATTTGCGAACATTGATGAGTGAAACCTCATCGAGAAATATGCTATATCAACTGAGCTCTCAAATGTTAAACGAGAGAAGCATAAACGCAAATCCTATCGTGTATGTGGACGTGATCGTAAACCATGGAGAATACCAATACAAAGTTTGAAAAGTTTAGGGAACAAGAGCAGAAAGGTTAGAGAATTTGTCTATACACGTATTCTTTCATGTATACGCATATTATCTACATTGCACTGCTATGTAAATGCTAAAAAAAAACTATTAAATAAAACAACGTTTAAGTTTAACTGTCGTGAAAGAATTCGACGAAGTATAAGAAAGATGAAATATCATGGCAGTCGATATTTAACATTGTTGTCTTGTAACGAACTGATGTGTTCTTGCAAGAGTAAAGCTTACGTCGCGAATTATTGCAACTATAAATTAAGTAGAGGCAGAAAAAATTTCCTGGCCCTACGATACATGTTGGCCTAATAAAACAATAGCAGTTCCATATAGTCAAGGTAACAATATGTTGCAATGGCTTTGTGCTCTTTGATTTACAATAACACAGGGGGTCAGCTTTGCAAATGATCATACACAGATAATGAATATTGGAAATCAGCTCTATTCACGTTTGTCATGGTTAGCCAGACGGCCGTTTTTAATGCAGTCAGAATTGCCAACAGCATTGTGTTTGATACTGATTAACAGAGTGAATGAAACCACAAATATATAATTAAAAGCTATCTCGGCCCGAAATCTTTTGTTAACCAAGAAAAAAAAAAAAAAACATTAGAAGACAGCCTATTTGGCACATGACTCACCCCGCTATGACCCCTTAATAAAAATAAATAAATAAATGTGTTTACCATCTCTTACGACGCCTCAAGTTAACCCCAGCATAACGTATGAGAGTGGCGTTGAGTTCTAAATGGAAGCTTAAATAGTTTGCCGTCAGGGTTTCCTTTCTTGGACCACGCAAATCTTGATGATTACACTGGCGTTGGTATTTTGCCGAGGACAGTTTGTTGTTGTTGCTGTAGCACACAGTTTTAAAACGCACATGCTGTGCTATTGTTCTGCTCATTAAATCTTTTGTTTTGCTCCTTCCTCGTTGTTGTCGCCGTCGTGGTCTGCTAAAGGTTTCTATTTATAGATGTACCGAGCCGCGAAGCGGTAGCCCATCGCTAGCCATAGACATCGATGTAGATAGTTGATTTATTATAAACTAAAACAGTGAAATAATTTACGCGCTTAAGTGTGATTGTGACTTATTTATACCTGCAACAACTACAACATTTTTGGTTGAAAATCCTCCGCACATTGCTCGGAGGTGAATAACAAAAGATATTCGGAGTTTGTGTAGCCAAAGAGAGCGCACCTTCAACGTTATCCACTGTTTCAGTATATACCATTTATCATTAACAAGTTGAGCCCCAGCTTCTCACTGTTAACCTGTGGCTTCAAAAGCTGGTTTTAGTTCTCAATACATAACGTTTCTTTAATTTTTACGGTGATAATCGGTTTTCCCTCATGTCAAAATGTCGATGTCTACCATATCTGGTGGTCTCGACATGTTAGTTTAGAGCTGATGATTAGTCAAATTCAATCTTCATACTTTGGATAGCGGAAAAAGTCACTTGAATTAATTTCAACGGAATGGGCTGTCTCCGCTTCCGTTAAAAACACACCCGTTAAAAAAGAAATAAAAAAATTTTAAAAAATTAAAAAAATTTTAAAAAATTAAAAAAATTTTAAAAAATTAAAAAAATTTTAAAAAATTTAAAAAAAAATTTAAAAAATTTTAAAAAATTAAAAAATTAAAAAAAATAAAAATAAATAAAAAATAGTTATAATAAATAAATAGTCTCTTTCCAGTGATGCGAATTTTAAACTTTTAATGGCCAAAGAAAGAATTTCTGGCTCCGGTTGTTCGAAGGGTGAATAGCGCTATCCACTGAAAAGATCTCTATCCGGTGGATAGCGCAGTACGTTTTGTTAACACTTATGCACCAAATAACGATTTATCCGTTGGACTGCGTTATCTGCCCTTGAACAAATGGTTCCTGGTATTTTACTCAAGACTATCATTAACATAAAAGGTTGGTCAAGGGTCTAGTAATCCGTTCATGGCGTACATTGTATCCAAAATAGTTCTCTGCCGTCTGAAAAACATGTATTTGTTTCCGAAAAGTTATTTTCCATTCGATTTTCCACTGGAATTTCCGGAAATTTTTCCTATCAAATAGAACCATTTTGCGATTGATGACACCAAGAGAAACAAACCCTGCTGAGTTTCATCACGACTTACATTTGTATTGAAGTAGCCAACGTGTAGCCGTACCCTCCCCCGCCAGTAAAATTTTTTTGGGATCACTTTCTGAAGGAGCTTAGACACCAGACTCAGGTAGGTAACCAAACCTTCTGATGACACCTTAACAATTCTTCAATCACCT